ATGGGGGAATGAGAACCAGTATCTTCTATTCAGAAATAGCTTTTCTAGGTCAAATAGCTCCCTCCAGCATCTTGCAAAGGCTTATCAAAGAAAAAATTATCATCTAGGTGACTAGGTCTATGTATTGCACATTGGAAGAATCGAGTGCAAGAGGTATTTCTATATTCAGAATTCATAGGTGATGATGCAGGGGAGGAAGATCAAACTGTGGAAAGCTAGAAGCTAGCATCCTCGGCAACTGTCCTCGAGGGAGTAGCCAAAACTTATGCCCAATAACCCAAATCCTTGGAGGACCATCTGAATGTTTCTTATGGTCCATTTCGATAGCAGAAATTGAGGGGTAAGAATTGGAATTGGGTGAGAAGAACTCCAATTCCAATGCTTGGATGCCCCCAATTCATATCAATTACAATTCACATGAGAATTGAAAATAATTTCAATTACATGTTGTGGGTATTGGAATATCTACCTCGGAGGTAGATATTCTAATTCAAGTGTTTATGAGAATTAACATAGAATAAGTCTACGGCTCTTTCGACTTTCAAGTTTACCCTAAATTGTTTTCTCTTTCGACTTTCAAGTTAACCCTACATTATTTGGTGTTGGAATTATTTGAAATAATTTTTATTTAAACTATTTTACATTATAATTTAGATTATGTTGAATAAAGTTTTATTATTTTTTGAAATAAATTTTCACTTCATTTACTTTCAATTTAAGTATTATTATTATACTAAAAGCTATTTAATAGATTTTGCTTGAATTTAAATTTTATTTTCTAAATTTTATTTTAAAAATATAATGCTTTGTTATTTTGATAAGCAGCTATCAAAATAGTGAATATTTTACATGAAAAATATATTACCCATTACGTGTATGTTACACGTGCGCGCAAACACTATATCTTGAAAAATTACAAATTGTTATTTTTTGAAAACAAATACGCTAATGTACAAAATTTATAACCTTTATTTTTGTTAAGATTAATAAGTATAGTGTGGCCTACTATGCAATAGATTGGGACTCAGGAAATTGGGTCCAATTGAGGGGATTCCAACCCATTTATGTGATTATCAAGAGGAATTATTAAGTATCTTTCTCTTGAAAAATTAAAAAAAAAAATTTATTTTATGAAAACAAATACGCTAATGTACAAAATATTTAACCTTTATTTGTGTTAAGAAGTATAGTGTGACCTACTATGCAATGGATTGGGGCTCAGGAAGTTGGGTCTAATTGAGTGGATTCCAACCCGTTTATGTGATTACCAAGAGGAATTAATATCTAACTAATACTTTTTATATCGGTAAATCAACTGTAAATATATATTAAAATCAAAAATATAATATACAAGGAAAATAAGGGAATCACTGTTATATGATTTTGTATCTCACTTATATTGAACCAACAATCAATACCCAAGTGGAATTGTAGGCATCAAAACTGTTAACTTGGAATTCATAGGCTACTTCAGCAAATTCTGTAGTCTCAGAGAAACAATATAATTCTCATACATAAGCTTTTCAATTTATAGATATTGCAATGCCTATAAACTGGAATCAATTCCCTCCAAAAAAAAAATGCCTATAAACTGGAATTCTCATGGATGTTTCATTTTCTGCAATCCTACCATGACTTAAATTCTTGGAGGATCTTCAGAATGTCATAGAAGATTTTCCTAGCTTCCCACAGCCAAAGAAATGTTGTTGATGTATTCCACTGCTTCTTTCTAGTTTGAACCAATGGAGATGCTTAAAAGGTTATGCCTGTGGGCTAACATGACATCCTTCTTTATCGAATTGGTGTGTTTGATTTTGTCTCTAGAACACGTGAACAAGGCTGTTTAAATGGTTTCTTAGTATGACTCAGATATCAGAATTAGGACCTGTAGTCGAACTATCGGCGTTGAGAGCCCAGTAACCCAGATTGAGCGGATGCCATGCACACCATTTGTTCTCCTTGATTGGTGGCTTGAACAAAATATGCCAGCTGGAGAGTCTCTACGTGAGCCATCATTTTCAATTGGTAATTTGGAAATATAACATCGAGCTTTGTTTCTGTAAGTTACTTGTTACTTAGAAAGGCTTTCATTTCTAGGGATTTCTACAATTTTTGTTTTCTGTGGGGTTTTAATTTATTTAAATTTGTACATAATCCTAAACCTTATGTAAAAAACAAGTCCTTGACTCCCAGTCGTTTAGTTAACACTATACGAAACGAATGTCTAAAATTGAATTTGTCATTTCTCTGTGATTTATCGCTTAGTAATACGTGATATTCCTATCATTTACAAATTCTGGTAATTTGTTGCTGTTATACAGGCTTGGCTAAAAGCCTAAAATAAAGGTGGAATTTATTCTTTTGAATTCTACTTTTTTCTTAGTTCTGAGAAAAGGATTGTCTTTTACATGTCCTTTCCTTGCTGAGTAGTTTTTGAAATGCATAGAAATAGCCTCCCATATGGGGACATTGGAAAGAGTCACTAAAACTTACCTGAAAACTTACAAGTAGCTTGGTCTCTTTGTAATGGTTTACATGCCTACATCACTACCTTTCACTTATCCTCTTTTGGGACTAGTGAACTATTTTTATGGGTAATTAGGGTAGGTTTCAGATTAGTCAAAGGTATATAAATGGTTACATAAGAGTTGATAAAGAAAGCCATACCTTATGAAATGATAAGGCACTTGCCTTAAATGTCTTTGAAGGAATATCTGGAATATATAATTATATATCTTTAGATTGTCAAGTTTGATTGTGCCATTTATCAAACATATGCTATATCGAGCATGTTCTGAAGTTGATGGTGTTTTTTGTAACTTCAAGCATGTTTTTGAAGAATTTGTAGTGCTTAGGGTGAAGGTGGACACACTTGGATGTTTGCCTTGGGTAAACTGAATTTGATATAATAATTTATGGTTGGCCTAGATTTTAACTCCCTTGAAATGAATTTGTTATTGAAAATTTTATTACTGAATAACTCATAAGGTCCGATTATCCAAAACCTTTCAAATATCTGTGTATTAAGTACAATTTCTGTGTACCATGTGTTAATCGATCAGGCACAGAATCCATCCTTTGTCCAGAAATTTTTCTTGTTTTCATGTTCCAAAAGTTTATAGCGTAAAAACTGCTAGCAGGTGATCCTTTGTTCTTATCTAGGATTAGGTTTCACAGGTAGTTAGATTGCCTAAGTAAGGTCTTAGTTCTGCAGATGCCTTTACCTTGTGAAAGATAATTCGTAGTTACTAGAATTTAGATATGTTTCATTATATTAATGGTCTATTTCATAGACCAGGGTGATTAGTATAAGCACAACAGCATGACACATCTTGCGCTGTTCCCAGTTCCAGCTTTGTTTAGTCGTTGATGATTGTTCTGAGTGCAGTTTATGTAATAAAATGTAGTACTTTGAGCCTCATGCAATATTTTAAAATTTCTTCCAGTGTGAATGAGCCTCTTTTGCTGACCAGAGTAGGAGGATCTATTTTTCCTTCTTGGCATCATTCCCGGTTCCAGGTTTGTATAGTCGTTGATGATTGTTCCGAGTTCAGCTTTATGTAATAAAACGTAATACTTTGGGCCTCATGCAATATTTTAAAATTCCTTCTAGTGTGAATGAGCCTCTTTTGCCGACCAGAGTAGGTGGATCTATCTTTCCTTCTTGGCATCCTTATTTTTCAAATTATTGGGTGCTAATCGATGTTTATATCCATGTATAGGCGTAAATGATATTTCCAATGTTCCAAAAAAAATTGAATGAACTAAAATATTTGCAGCATGAGAAACACTTAAGGGAACAAACTTCCTTGTCATATTTTATATGGAATTTCTATCATACATTCACCTTAACTCTTTAAGACACTTTACTTTTCATTTAAACTAGCTTAAGCCTGCAACAGATTAAATCTGGTTCTACCTTTGTTTTTTAATTTGTAAGGTGCCTTCCTCTCTGATAGGGGCGCTCACCTTTAGGTTATAACTCCTTGTTCAAGCAAGAGACCTAGGTTAGTTTATTCCTATTTTATCGAAGGAGGAGCATTCAGTCATTTTAATTTGCACTGAAGTCAGGAATTTCTTCCATGCCTATGAGCATTGCCTGATGATTTGACATTTCTGCTTGTGAATTAATCTGAGTGTTTGTAGGCCAACTTGCAATGGCAGTTTGGCATGTTTATGTTGTTACATCTATTCTTGTTAGTAATTCCTCACATCTACTGAAAGTGGTTGTATTCAGGATGAAGATGAATTCTTTTTATTTAATCATTATTGTTTACTGCAGAACTAACTTTCCTATTGGTTTGCATGTAGCTCATGGAAAACCTGATCCCGGTTGAGGAGAAGCAAAGATCACCACGTATTCTCCGACGGGTTCGCTCTTTGCAATGGTAGTTCTTGATTCACAGTGTGAGATGGAAGGAGCCCTCTTTTCTTCTGAGTGGCGCTGCAGCTATAGAAGATTAGCCCATGAAATAAAGCAACATCCCTGGCAAAATATGTTCTTGCATATCAGACATTTCCTCCAGTGAGCACTGTTTGAGTGCAGTCCCTTTTCATTTATAAATAGAAGCCGAGGGATTGCAGCCAAAGAGGTAAGGGTAATTCGTTAAATCCGAAGGTAGGGGGGTACTTACTTTGAGGATGTGAGAAGTACAGCAAAGAGATCACCAAGCAGAGAATGCCAAGATGGTCTCTGTAGTAAGCAGGTGTCATAGATAAGGAAAGCAAGTTTACATTTATAGATGCCTGTTTCCCCATTTGCTGCTGTTAAGGGGAGATAGAGACAGTGACAGAAACAGAGATGGACCATAATTAGTATTGAAAAAAAGCAATATCTCATGTAGCACACATGGTTAATAATTATGTTCTGAATCCAACATTTACCTATTTCTTGCTTCTATAACTCTTGTGCGAAAATCAATAAATTGAAAGAGGAGTGGTGGATTCTGTTATCTCTACTAGCCACAACAGATGCTACTGTGGCCTACGGCTCAATATACGCCTTGGTGGTGAAATGGTAAACTTGGCAGACTCAAAATTGGTGCTAAAGAGCATGGAGGTTCGAGTCCTCTTCAAGGCATAATATTGAGAGTCAAATTTTGGGTTATTCATTTTGTGGATCAGAGACTAACAGCTGGCTGTGAAAATGGCATACGCGTATGCGTTGATGGTCCAGGACAAACCTCTCTTCGGTCTGGAAGGGGCTTCTTGGCCCTTTCACCAGGAGAGGAGCTGAATCAATTTCAGCATGCAAGCAGGTTCATAAGGCCTGAATGAAGGGAAATATGCACAGATAAGCAACAATGAAATATGAATTGGTAATACTACAAATCACAAGCTGATAAATAAGTCAATCCGTAGGCTCTTTGGTGTGTCAAAGTCGTTCAGACACTAATCATATGCAAATTGTGTCATTTTAGACTCTTGATTTATATTTAACAAGAAGAGGATGGTAGAACAACGACTGGGAGGTAAAGGCAAGCTTGGGACAGTTGGACTCACCGGGAAGAGAGAGATTATTTGAGAGTGTTGGCAAAATGAACTAATTTTGATTTTTAAATTACGGGGTTAAATAAGTCCATTCTAAAATTTATTATATTAAATTTAGAAAACTAAACTCACGTCAAAATGGGGCACTGAGGGTTGGTGCAGTTGGCTAGCGTCCCCGGTTTGCTTCTTGTGGTCGTGTGTTCAATTCCCACTCCTCAGCTTACCCTCATATCTGTTGGGAAAATTCCAAGTGGGTCGGTGTGTATACCCCAAGGGACAAATCTTTGGCTCAAAAGATGGCTTTGGGAAACCCTCCCTTAGCGGAAAAAAGAAAATTAGTAAGATCTTCATGATAGTTAGTTGCTTAATTAATAAATCTAACCTTGAAAAGGATTAAGAAGACGGATTATAAACTTGAAAACCCCAATCCTCACCCAGTCACCCAAAATATTATAACAAAACAGAATCTCCAGACTTTAATTTGATGAATCTAATCATTTTAGGATCATCCCATATATCAAAAAAAGTCACAGACATGCAACCAATAATTTGCCCCATACTACTACATGTATGACACATGATCATCTCCAAAGGAAAATGTAACTGACAGAAAATCAACATAAGTGAAACAGATATATTCTATTCTAACCCCTTCCTTTATTTTCCTAAAGAAAAGAAAAGGTAAAGTAAAATCAGTACACCTTTCACTGTATTAAAAGCAGAGTCTCCAAAATCACCTTCCCCCCCTATATCTCTCCTCCATTCCCAGTAATTAAGCCAAAGACGCCTGACACGTTTACAGTCATTCCACACACACAATCACACACACTCACTCTCGAGTGAACTCAGTCACTCGTTCAAAAAACGAAGACAATTCCATGGAGGCCTACTCCATTCTTATTCTCCTACTTTGTCTTCTCAGTACTCTACTCTTCAAACCCTCTCATTCCAAGACTATAGTAGTAGATGGAGTTGCAGAGTGGAGAAACCCCAGTGTTCATGTTGGTGACTCCATTGGTAAGTGCTTGAAAGCAAAAAGAAGTAAAGCATTTTTATTAATATTTTTTCACACATTCTAACCAATGCCTCTCTTATGCTCTTTTTGTTTTTGAAATATTCTCAGTTCTGAAACACGAACACCAGTTCAATCTCTACATTTTCCAAGATAGAAAAGCCCTCAATCTCTGCAACTTCACTCAAGCTACTCTTCTCAGCAATCCCAACTCCAACTCCTCTTTCACGGTATAAAAGTACTTTCTTTTTTTTCTCTGTCTTTTTGGAGTTCAATTTTCTCATATGGGTACCTCAAAAATGGCTGAAAAATCCTCATCTCCTAACCCCTTTTTTATTATTATTAAAATTATCAGTGGCAACCATCACGACCCGGTTTCTTCTACTTCTCTTTCAACAACGATTCTCTAAAGTCATGTGAAGAAGGTGAGCAGTTGGCAATAAGGGTATCTCCAACACCAACGGAAAACTGGGCTCTCGCACCGGAATTACCACCAGTGGCAGCTCCGTCACCGAATTCCGGTGGGGTTGTATCATCCTCTCACAGGGCTCTGGCGCCGGAACCGGAATTACCACCCGTGGCAACTCCGTCACGGAATTCGGGTGGGGTTATATCAACCTCTCCAGCGTACCCTTGGCCATTCCATTCTCATGATCAAACGAGTTCGCCGAGTCCGAGTGCAACGATTCCGTCAGTAATACCGGATATAGGTGGTGGGATTGGGATTGGGAATGGGATACCGTTTGTTAGTAGTAATCCGGCGGTCCCTCTGCCTACTGGTGCAGCCGATTCTGCTTCAATACACCCTTTGCCTGCATCTGGCAGCGGAGGACAGGTACACTCTCTTTTTAGGATTCAGCAATCAGCATAGGCTTACTGCTGTTATTTTGCATGCGCCGCGTGTGTAAGTGGACACATAGACCTTCTGTAGGAGCCTACACCATTTATGGCTACTATATGTTAGAGCAATCATTATTCAATGAAAGGAAAGTAAGGGCCTTCTCAAGGAATCATTCTCTATTCTATCCCAGGGAATAGAGAATCTTTCCGTGAGAGTCATGCAAACGAGCCCTAACCTTCTTCTTTCTAGGGAAATGGAAAAGGAGTCAAATCCTCTATGGTGATAACACCGGATTTGGCAAATCCGGTTATCACCCCTAGAGGTCGCCACGTGTCTCCTTGGACACCCCTTAACCGCGGGTAATGTTCACCCACCCCTAGGGTTCACCCACCTATTTTTTTTTTTAAATATGAATTCTATTTTTAAAATTAAAAAACTGTTTTTAAAGTTTTTTTAATATTGAAAATAGTTTTTTAATTTTAAAAAAAAGAATTAATATTTTTTTTAAAAAAACCAAATATAAGTAGGTGAAACCTAGGGGTGGGTGAACCTTACCCACAGTTAAGGGGTGTCAAAGGAGACACGTGGTGACCTCTAGGGGTGATAACTGGATTTGCCAAATCTGATTATCACCGTAGATGATTTGGCTCTAATGGAAAATGGACAAAGGGTCAGCTTAGAAGCCGACCCCAATGACCTCATTGGTCCAAGCCCCTTTTTTACCATTCACCAACTGTGGTTAACCCGTTAGGGTTAAGCAATCTAACCATGGTTTTTAGAGATAAAAAAAAATGCTAATTTTAATTTAGTTAAGCTTCATTGTGATTAAATAGGGGTTAAAAGGGACACCAGACGCCTAGAAGCGGACCCAGGGTCCGTTTCTCAAGACTTTTTATTATTTGGGAAAATTATGACCTCCTCGCAGGATCGGATTTGGTCTAGCACTCGCCAGAGCAAAACCGTTTGCCCTACTCACAAAGTCCCTTTAACTGCAATTTCAAACCCTAGTTAAATTTTTTTAACTCTCATGGTTAATTTTTTTTTTTTAAATCAAGGTTACTTAGTTGAATCCTAAGATTAATGAATCTTAACCACAATTAAAGAGTCCCAAAAGGACAGATGTTGACTTGTGAGATGAGGACCACAGAGGGTTTTTGTCTGGCAAGGGCCAGACGAAATCCATTTCCCCTCCTCGTTGGTGGAGCGAAGGGAGGCCGCGTCTTGGGAACTTGTTGCCATGTGTCCTCTTTTAATTCTTTTTAATTGTGATTAAAATTTTCTAACCCTTATAATTAAAGCATCCATTCTTAAATTTTTTTAAAAATAATTTAACTACAAGAGCTAAAGCTTTTTAACCGGACCTCAAGGACAATTGAGGGGGCTTAATTTGTGAGGGTGACCGGACTAAGGAACAATTGCTCTTTTATTAGGGTCATGATTAGGCTGCACAAAGCCCGATCGTTGCGGGTCTGCTTGGCCCGGTTCAACCCGAGATCGGCCCAAATTTTAGGCTCGAATGGGCCAAGCCAAGCCTAAAAAAAACCCCGAAAACTCAATCAAGTCGAGCTCGGGGCCAACCCCTGTGTGGCTCGGCCCGGCTCAATTGAGGTTTAGTTCGGTCCGAACTCTGCTCAACTCGAATATATATATATATATATATATATATATATATTATTTATATAAATAATATAAAATATTATTATTTTAAAAAAAAATTCAAGCCAAGCTCGGCTCGAGCTTGAATCAATTCGGGCCGAGCCAAGCTTCGAGCCACGATTTTGAATTCGGCCGCACTTTCAAGTTGCATTTCGGGCCGAGCCGGGCTTCGGGCCTCGATCAAATCCATTGAAGCCAAGCCCGGCTTGGCCAAGCCCGACCCAAATGCAACCCTAGTCATGATATTATCACAGGTGGGGCTATCAAAGGGGGCAGGCCATGGCCTAGGTCTTACTAGGCCCAACCTTCACTTATAAAAGTGAGGCCCTAGCCTTGAAGGCCCAAATTAGCTAGACCCAAGCTCTATACTCAAGGGTCATGGCCTAATGAGGAGTGAAGAAAATTTTCTAAGTTGTAGAGTTATTGAAATTTTTTTTTTTCAACATTAATTGTCAACCTGGCATATAACCCTCATCCTTTATCTAGACTTGTGACCGATAATACAATGCAAAGAGTAGTTTGACGAAGTTAAAAAAAAAAAAAATATTTGTCAGTGGTAATATATCAGACAAAGTACAAAAAAAAATCTTGAGTAAGAAATATATAATATAACTACTATTATTTTATCATTAATTTCTACTACATGAAACTCAATATACCTTATGTTCAATCATCTAAATCGTCTTTCAATATATCTAATTGTGGTGAGTATTTAAGAGGGGACATGGACCAATGAGATCCAACCTTAAGTTTGCAAATAGATATCCCAGGTACGTCTATCACTTGTCTTTAGCATAATATGCAAGACTTGTAGTCAACCTCTAGTTGCAACTGGTGAGCTCCCAACCAGTAGTCACCCGAAAGCTAACACATAGCCTTATGTTCCAAAAGCTATATCATAATTGTTAGTTAGAGCTGAACATTAGTATATCCAAATTTGTATTCAATTATATATCCGACTATCCAAATTCAAATAAATATCAAACGGATAATGAAATATAATATTTGTATTTGACTTCGAATAGAATATTCGAATTCGAATAATATTTGGATTATTCGATTGCTTTTAAAAATTTTAAAA